ACGGCATCGGCCTCGCCCTCTGTCCCTCGTGGGAGCTGCTGCTGGGGGCTCGGGCTGCTGATCGGTAGATGAGGAAGCGCGTGTTCTCGCCATCTGTGAAAGAACAGAGTAGAAGTTCAATTAGCATTGAGAAACCAAACCGCACGACAAGAAAGAACAAATGTGAAGTTTTCCTAACTCAGTAGCCCCTGGGCGATAAATACAGACGTCTCCGTACTGATCCCTCAGACTCTACTAAGCTTGTCCATGAATTGTGACCTATGTAACCTAGAGCTCTGATACCAACTTGTCACGACCCGGATTTCCCACCCTCGGGGGTCGTGATGGCGCCTACTCGTAGAAGCTAGGGAAGCCACGAAATGTAGAAATCTTAACTCATTCATTTTAATACTTTTTTAACAACTTAAAATGAACAGGTGATCAACATTAAAATAATTGCGGAAGATGAAATCAAGCGGAAGACTTAGTCAAATTAAATACTAAATTAGTACAGAAATGCCAATATATGCCTCTACCCAGAAACCGGTTTCACAATAACCACGGACTGTCTATGAGTGCTACATGCAATGTCTGAAAAAGGAAGTATAGTCGGTCTCGGAATCAAGTGAAAACAGAACATAATCGTAGATAGAAGAGAGCGCCGGGCCTGCGGACGCCTGCAGGACTACCTCGGGCTCTCTGGCTGGATTGAAGGCTGGCTCCTAGGGTGCTACTGTCCAAATGCTGCTCCGGTATCGGCACATAATGCAGAGTGTAGTATCAGCACAACCGACCCCATGTGCTGGTAAGTGTCTGGCCTAACCCTGGCGAGGTAGTGACGAGGCTAGGACCAGACTCCAGATAAACCTGTGCAGTTATATAATATACAACAAAAGATAGCAGGAATAAACAATTTAAATGGGAGGGGGTACATGCTACGGGGAAAAATGTCAAATCTAGCAGGAAATAAAAGAGATACGAGAGAACAACTCAGAATCTAGAACAAAACAATAATAATACTGTTGCGGCACGCAACCCGATCCCATATAACATTGTTGCGGCATGCAACCCGATCCAAATTTAGTATTGTTGCGGCGTGCAACCCGATCCATATTTAATATTATTGCGGCGTGCAACCCGATCCATATATATATATATATATATATATATAGTATTGTTGCGGCGTTCAACCCGATTCATATATAGTATTATTGCAGCGTGCAACCCGATCCATATATAGTATTGTTGCGGCGTGCAACCCGATCCATATATAGTATTGTTGCGGCGTGCAACCCGATCCATATTTTCATATACCTTTAGCAACAACCATACCAAGAGTCCCGGCAAGGGATCAACAATAAACTACACTATCCCGGCAAGGGATCAACAATAAAAGTAAATACGTCCCGGCAAGAGAGAATCAACTATAACCAATCTTAACTCAACCTCTATTCATCTCAGCTAACATCAATATTCAAATCATAAGTAATTCCCACGAGAACAAATTTAATCCTTGCTCACTATCGAGAATCATCAATTAAAGCATCCGTAGTATCATATAAGAACACAACAATATCAATTTAAGACTCACGGTCATGCTCGACATAAACGTATAGATACTCGTCACCATGCCTATATGTCGTACTCAACAAGAAGCACATAGCAAATAGGACTTAACTCCTAATCCCTCAATCTAAGGTTAGACCGAACACTTACCTCGAACTTCCACGGCCAACTCAATCCTCAAAACGCCTTTCCTTTCGAATTCGGCTCCAAATCAATTGTATCTTGACATAATCGACTTCATAACATCAATAAACGCTAAACAATCCGATTCCAATGTTTAATTATGGCTTTCTAACCATTTTCCCAAAAAGTCAAAAATTTACCCCGGGCTCGCTTGGTCAAAATACGAGGTTCAGACCAAAACCCGATCACCCATTCACTCCCGAGCCCGAATATATAATTAGTTCCAAAATTTAACCCCAAAACGAGGTCTAAATCAAAAATATATAAAAAGCCCTAACTCTACCCAAATCCCTAATTTTCTACCCCTAATCACATGATTTAAGCCTAGAAATCTGATGTTTGTTAATGGAAATTGAAGAAAATGAGTCTAAGATTACATACCTATGAATTGATGGTGAAATCCCCTTTAAAAAATCGCCCAATTTGGAGTTGAAAAGAAGAAGTTATGAAATTTTGGTTGAATCCTGTAATGGCTACTGTTCTGGTCTTTTAAAATAACTGGGCGAATTTACTCATCGCGTTTGCGATGAGTCAGGCCTGTTAGGCCTTCGCGTTCGCGTAAGTGGGTTCGCATTCGCGGAGAAAAGACTCCTGGAGCCCTCGCGTTCGCGTCCAAGTGGTCGCGTTCGCGTAGGGTATAGCACCCCTCCCCCTGCCCAGGCTATTAGCCTTCGCGTTCGTGTGGCCAGGACCGCGTTCGCGAAGGGAAGACCCCCCCAACGCCTCACTTTCGCGACATGGGTTATGCGTTCGCGTAGAAGGAATTTCCTTCAGCATAAATTAACACATCGCGTTCGCGAGGGTCCTCCCGCGAACGCGAAGAAGGACATATCAGAATACCAACAGCTGAAAACCTGCAACTATCTCTAAGTTCAAAACCTTCCGAAACTCACCCGAGCCTTCGAGGCTCGAAACCAAAAATGCATACTAACTCAAAAAATATCATATGAACTTATCCGTGCGATCAAATCACCAAATTAACATCATTAACATCGAATTAAACCTCAAAATCATTGAATTATTCCAAAACTTCTTAAAGCGTCAAATTTTTCATTTAAAGTCCGAATCACGTCAAATAACATCCGTTTTTTCACCAAATTTCACAGAATCATCTTAAATCATATATAAGACCTGTACCTAGCGCCTGAACCAAAATACGGGCCCGATACCAACATGTTCTAATCAAATTTCATTTCCAAATCCTTTAAACAATTTCAAAAAATAATTTTCTTTAAAAATTCATTTCTCCGGCTTGGGACCTTGGAATTCGATTCCGGGCATACGCCCAAGTCCCATATTTTCCTACGGACCCTCCGGGACCGTCAAATCACGGGTCCGGGTCCGTTCATCCAAAACGGTGACCGAAGTTCGTTACTCCAGATTTCTGGGATATGTTTAGACTACTCTACTTTGTATTTATCACATCTATTCCAGACTATTACAATTTTGTTTTATTTATGTTCTACTTTAAATTGTTAAAACTGGTTAAGTAATTATCTAACGTTGACTTGCTTAGCAAGTGAAATATTAGGCACCGTCACAACCCCAAGGTTGGGATTTCGGGTCGTGACAAGTTGGTATCGGAGTACTAGGTTGTCTAGGTCTCACGATTCATGAGAAAGCTTAGTAGAGTCTGGAAGATCGGTACATAGACGTCTGTACTTATCTTCTAGAGGCTATAGGGTTTTAGGAAAAATTTCCCTTCTTTCTTTATCTATGTGCAACTTTATTCTATTACTGAATATTGAACCATTCTATTCTTGTCCTCTCACAGATGGTGAGAACACGCACAACATCAACAGCCGAGCAGGATCGAGAGCTCCGAGGCCCCCGGGACCTCAACCAAAAATACCAATACGTCCTAAAATATTATTCAAACTTGTTCCAATCATAAAAATACCACGATTAACACTAAAACCATCAAATTACATCAAATCCAAGCCTAAGTTCTTCAAATTCTTCCGAAACTCGCATTCGATCAAAAACCCAACCAAACCACCTCCGAATCATCTGAAATTTACACATCCCAAATCACCTAACAAAGCTACTGCAACTCTCGGAATTCCATTCCGACCCTCGGACCAAAATCTCACCTATCAACCGGAATTCGCCAAAACACTAACTTCGCCGATTCAAGCCTAATTCTACACCGGACCTCCAAAATCAATTCCGATCACACTCCTAAGTCACAAATCATCCCCCGAAGCTAACCGAATCACCGGAAATCACATCGGAGCCCTATAACTCATTAGTCAACCTCCGGTTGACTTTTCCAAATCAAGCCTTCCTTAAAGAGACTAAGTGTCTCATTTCTTATCAAAACCAATCCAAATCAACCTTAACACACCAAATACCGACTTAAATGCATTTTAAGCCAAAATTTTAATATTTCACAGAATTTTTCACATAATAGCTTTCCGGCTACACGCCCGGACTGCGCACACAAATCGAGGTGAAGATAAAAGAGGTTTATAAGGCTTCGGAACACAAAATTCATTTTAAATACAAGTGATGACCTTTAGGGTCATCACAATAAATTTTTTAATTTTTTAAGTCAATAAATCTTTATATCTTAAGTAAATTTTAGTTTTATTTTATATTTTAACTTACTTCAAAGTATAAATTACTTACCTTAATTATGTTTCTATTTATAATTTCTAATAATTAATGTTGTCCTATAATTGCCAAGTTGCTTCATTTTAGCTTGCACTTGGCTTAACCACAATGCATACTACTCTCCTTTTAATATAATATAGATAGATTTTACGGGTTTTTATTACCTTCAGTTAGTACTAAAACACCTTGTGACATCGATCGTAAGCCGCAACGAATATAGCACGAGTTTATTTTGGCAAATAAAAGTACAAAATCATAGACTAATAGCTATATCTCGGTGATATTTGATTGATATTAAATATGAAAAGCAAGAGCTACACTCATAGATACATCTTTATTTAATTACGTGAGTAATATTTTTCTATAAAACATAACATAAGATATAAAAACGAATAGACAAGACCAATGATTATTGGAACATACATAGCATGATTTTATCCACTTTAACTTTATTTTAACTATTTACAAATGTTCAAGACATTTCCTCGTCATCTTGGAACTTCTCTTCGTTCTGCTTGGGCCATACAAAGTTATTCTTGAATTCATTGTTATTTGTTGCGAATTCTCTTGAATTTTCGTAGGGATATTTGGCATATTTCTCAGTGTTGACATCATAAAAGTACTTTAATTTCCATTTTCAAAGAACTTTGTGCCACTTATGCCCTGCGCTGCACCTTGTTACCATTATAGTGATCATAGTTTGTGGGGTTGCTTTGTTCTTGATTGTTGCTGTAGTAATATTTTGTGCTAGTTTGATACATGGTGGTTGGAGTTTTATCCCAAATTAAGCCTTGTTGCTGATTTTTGTTGTAGTGGTATGTGTTACCCGCATTGTAATACTCCTCGTTGTTGTTGTTGTTGTTGTTATAGTTAGTACTGCCACCACTGAAGTACCCCTTGTTGTTATTGTTGTTAGTATTGCCACCAATGTAGTACTCCTTGTTGTTGTTGTTGTAGTAAGTGGTACCCTTATAATGATACTCATCGTTATTGTTGCTGTTGCTAGTACTGCCACTATTGTAGTACTCCTTGTTATTGTTGTTATAGTAAGTACTACCCCCATTGTGATACTCCTCCTCCTCATTGTTGTTGTTAGTACTGCCACCATTGAAGTACTCCTCGTTGTTGTTGTTAGTACTGTCATCATTGTAGTACTCCTTGTTGTTGTTGTTGTAGTAGTAAGTGCTGCCTATATTGTGATACTCCTCATCGTTAATGTTGTTGTTGCTAGTACTGCCACCATTGTAGTACTCCTTGTTATTGTTGTTATAATAAGTATTACTCCCATTATGATACTCCTCGTTATTTTTGTAGTAGTTGTTGTTAGTACTATCACCATTGAAGTACCCCTCGTTGTTGTTCTTATTGTTGTTGTTAGTACTGCCACCATTGTAGTACTCCTTCTTGTTGTTGTTGTTGTTTTTGTAGTAAGTGTTACCTATATTGTGATACTCCTCGTTGTTATTGTTGTAGTTGCTAGTACTGCCACCATTGCAGTACTCCTTGTTGTTGTAGTAGTAAGTGCTACCTATGTTGTGATACTCCTCGTCGTTATTGTTGTTGTTGCTAGTACTGCCACCATTGTAGTACTCCTTGTTATTGTTGTTATAGTAAGTATTACCCCCATTATGATACTCCTCGTTATTTTTGTAGTAGTTGTTGTTAGTACTGCCACCGTTGAAGTACCCCTCATTGTTGTTGTTGTTTGTACTGCCACCATTGTGGTACTCCTTATTGTTGTTGTTGTTGTTGTTGTTGTTGTTGTAGTAGTAGTAAGTGCTACCTATATTGTGATACTCCTCGTTGTTATTGTTGTTGTTGCTAGTAGTGCCACCATTATAGTACTCATTGTTATTGTTGTTATAGTAAGTGTTACCCCCATTGTGATACTCATCGTTGTTGTTGTTGTTAGTACTGCCACCATTGTAGTACTCCTTGTTGTTGTTGTTTTTGTTGTTGTTATTGTTGTAGTAAGTGTTACCTATATTGTGATACTCCTCGTTGTTATTATTGTTGTTGCTAGTAGTGCCACCATTGTAGTACTCATTGTTATTGGTGTTATAATTAGTGTTACCCTCGTTGTGATACTCCTCGTTGTTATTGTTGTTAGTACTGCCACCATTAAAGTACCCCTCGTTGTTGTTGTTATTGTTATTGTTGTAGTAAGTGTTATCCCCATTGTGATACTTCTCGTTGCTGTTCTTGTTGTTGTTGTTTGTGCTACCAGTATTTTTGTACTTTTCATCGTTGTTGTTGTTATTGTCGTCGTTGTTTAAGACAGTGACATAGGCCACATGGTCATAATTCTTGGAAAGGTATTTGCTATTGTGAATATTATTAGTTAAGGTGGTGGTTGGGTTGATTTCGTTGTAGGATTTTTCTACATCATTAGTAGTGGTGGTGGTAGGAGGAAGTTGACTAGACTCATGATCATATAGGCCAAAGCTATTATTTTCATTTTCAGGCAAAAAATTTGGTTCTTGTTCTTTGTTGGAAATAACTACTTGTGTCTTTTTTTCAGCATTGGAAATTTTATTAAAGAATTGGCTTTCTCTTGCATGGGTTTGCAATGAAGAAATGAGGGTAAGAAGGAGTAAGATGTAGGAGAAATGCTTGGTAAAGGCAGCCATGAGAGAAAGAAAAAAGAAACAAATTTGTATAGGATCTTAGTGCAGTTAACTTGTTATAGTTGTTGCTTTATATAGAGATTATTTATCGCTTTTAAGTGTGCGAATTCTATTTTTTAAATTATTTTGAACACTACTTTTTTCTTTTCTTTTTGTCTGAGGTGAAAGGGAAGAGTAGGAGTTATTATCGTTTCCTTCCAAAATTTTCTGGTGATTAGGTGCAAATGGGGACATGTAAAATAAAGGAAAATAGTAGTCCTTATACACTAAATCACATAATATCGTACAAAAAGTACTAATGTTCGAATTTAACATTTATGCACTGATAATATAATTTATTTTCAAATTAATTAAAAGGTAATTAAAAATGACTATCTATAATAAGTAAAATTAGCAATTGAAATACAAAAATAAATAATTTTTTGTAACATATTAAATTACACTTATAAAGGTTATGTTACATCATCAGGAGATATAAATGCTTACTCCATTTCTTATTTATAGATAGTATATTATTTCTTTAGTTTTTATTTTAGTTTTCTACTTTAGTAAAAGGAAGAGAGAAACAAAATGAAAAGGAAAGGAAGTGAAACGATGAACGAAAATAGAAAATGTGATTATGCGTGAATTTTGAAGAGTGTAGGGAGGGGAAAAGAAACTTCCATAGTCGGAAAATTGAAAATTATGACATTTGAGGACCAATCAAAATCAAACATTACGTGCCCATCTCTTATATTATCTATTGTAAAATGAGACCTAACCTTTTCCATTTCGTCTATGTCATTTTTCTACTCAATCTTAATTTGCATGCTCATTTGGTTTTTGTCTATTTTTCCCGCTTCAATTTTCTAGGTCATTTCTTTCAACTCATTCCTAAATTGGTGAGTGATAATACTGATTTTGATCTTTTACATAGAAAATTTGAGAAAATGATCAAAATAATCCTTAATGTACTAGAGATTTGTCAAAATTCTACTAAATTTAAGAAGTTTGACCTGAAAAAGTGAGCGTTGAGGGATTTTTGAGTTGGGATACGAAAGGGAGAAGTTTTCGGCCTGGCGCCCAAAGCAAGTTTGGTGGCGGCTGCTCGGCCGTAGGTGGTGGCAGAGCGAAGAACGGGGACCTGGGGACGAAAGTGGCCATAATTGTAAAGGGGAAAAGAATGAGTGATTTTGATCTTTGACATAGAAAATTTGAGAAAATGATCAAAATAGTCCTTAATGTATTGGGGTTGGTTTATTGTAGTTCTTGATATATGCATCCTAAAAATATGGTCCTTATTGTACAGAAAAGGTGATTTTTAATTTATTTTCCACCGTAAAAATTACAGATTTGTCAAAATTCTATTAATTTTAACCCTCTATCGACGTGAAAAACTAACCCTCTGAATTATTGGCAAGCTTTGAAAACTTTTAATGCAGTAGTAGGCTCTTCTCCTTGTGGTTGTAGGGGAAACTACACTTAACTTGGAAACAAAGTAGTAATATATTATAACTTATTAATTTGTATTGATTGTGTAAAAAAAATTATAAGCTATCCATTTGTAACATTTAAATCCATTTGTAAGTGTTAACTGTCCGAAATAAAAAATGAACTTTTAATATAGAAAAAATAAAAGAATAAAAGAAAAGAAGAGAAGAACGAACTTTGTATGATGAACTTTATACCCTTAGAGTCTGTTTGGAAAGTCACCCTGTAATTGGAATTGGTGTAATTACTAGGGTAGTAAATACACAGCCTAGTAATACACAGTTGTGTAATTACGACAATATGTTTGTTTGTCATAGTGTAATTACAGTGTAATTACAAGTTTACTGTTTGGTTGCACAAGTGTAATTACACAGTTAAATTAAATTTTAAATTAAGTGATTATCAAAACTTAAAATTTAATATAATAAATATATGCCTATAAATTTTTAGAAGTATAAATGATATTATATTTGGTATTTAAGATGTATATTTTTTTCGTGAATATACATTAATTAGTAATTATATATTAAAAACTAATATTGTAAAAATAATATATATATATATATATATATATATTTAATTAATAATATTTAGTTTAGAAACTTATAAAAATTAAAAATATACGTTTTGTAAGAACATAGAGGGATTCATGTTTGATAAAATAAATTAATATATATAAATATAATATTATAACATTATTCAAATGTTTGACAAATCTAATCTATCAATTCTAACTAAAAAACGAACAACATGCAATATGAGCCAATACTACTAAAACAAGTAAATTGGAACCATGAATATAACACATTTTCAAAATTCAAAAAAAAAAAAAAAATCCTTTAACATATGTCAAATTCCAACATAATAATAGTAAGTTCCACTGCAACTTAAGATTAGGAAACATGATAAGTTTATAACCACATTCAACAACGAAATTTCACTTTAATTGCATCATTCATTATATTTCAAGTTTGTTAATGACTCATCATTTCTAATATTAGGAGGCGTAGTTTTAAAATTTGAATAATAAAATAAATAAAAAGTAAAATATAAGCAATTACATGGAATCGAAAAAAGTAAAAATAGAGAAATAAATGTACAAAGAAAAATATATTTTAAAATTTCAAAAGAAATTAAAAACTAAAAATAAAATTAAAAAATTAAAATAATAGAAATAAAAAGTTATAAAAAAAATTAAAATAACAACAAAAAGGAAAGAAACTTGAAAACAACATTGTAATTACACAGTGTAATTACTACCAATTCTTAACTTCCCCTTGAGAATTGGAGAGTGTAATTACACCCCTCCAATTACACCCAATTCCATGCTGACCAAGTAATTACTTGGCCAAACAAACATGCCAAACTGTGTAATTACACCCAAATCCATTTTCAAGGTGGCTTTCCAAACAGGCTCTTAACGATTTTATACGCAACCGAAAAGGAAAAGATTGGGCTGTTTTAATTTTCTTAGTGGCCGTCTGGACATAAAAATTACGAAATTCCAAAAAAGTGAAAAAAAATATTAAGTGAAAATGGTAATTGAAATTTAGAATTGTGTTTGGACGTGAATAAAGTTTGAAGTTGTTTTTGATTTTTTGTGAGTGATTTAAAGAGAAAAGTTTGAAAAACAGTTTTTTGGAATTTTTCAAGTTTCCGAAAAATTTTAAAATTCAACTTCAAGTGAAATTTAAAATTTTCAGGGCCAAAACGCTGATTTCGAAGTAATTTGAAGTAAAGTAATAATAGAACTCTTTAAATGAAGTTCCAATATAGATTGAAAAAAGGTTCCAACATAGATTTTAACAAAAGTGCCTCCCATTCTTCCTATGAATTTATGGTCAAGGCGATCATTCCAGCAAAACTTGACTTGCACATTTATCAAACAATTTTATTGGTATAATGAATGTTAGTTCGTACATAGATAAAATATTCGAGGAAATACAATTAATGCGCTAAGATTATATGGATGCAGAACATAAAAATACGTAATTCATATCAGTTTGAAGTTAAAAAAAGGTGTGTCACGATCTAAATTTTCCTCCGTTGGGTGTCGTGATGGCACCCAGTCTTAGGGACTAGGTAAGCCTAACATTAACTGAAATAACAACAGTAATAAATAACGATTACAAATGCGGAGAAGAAATCTAGAAAAAAAGGTTTACAATCCCAAAACCGGTAGTACAAGCCATAAGCTCTACAGAGTTTTTGCTAGAAAACCTCTAAATACAACTGTTACGAAATAAGGATAAATAGTGCAATAAATAAAAAAAAAAAAAAAAAACTAGAAGGTGACTCCGAAGCCTGCGAAAGCAGCAACAGGTTTACCTTGAGTCTCCACAGTAACAGTCCGCACAGCTAGCTAACGATCAATTGACTTCGAAATACCTGGATCAGCACAATAATGTGCAGAAGTGTAGTATGAGTATACAACAGCGGTACCCAGCAAGTATCAAGACTAACCTCGGAGGAGTAGTGACGAGGAACAGTCAAGACATCTACTGGACTAAATAACCTGAGCAAATATAAGTGTAGAAATAACAGAGTACGATATCTATATAAGGACTACACATAATGACAATAATAATAATACGGTAATTGCGGTAAGAAATGGAAAACAACAACTAGCAGCGGAACACCATTATAATGACACAATAGAGTGAACAGAACACAGTTTAAATCCGATGGTCACAGATAAAGGAAAGGCAAGTACAAACTCAACAAGACCACCGCTTCCACATAGGTTTATCCAATGATCTCCACGAGGTACCGAAGCTCGGAATGTTCACAGTTCACGGGCCCCAGTTCCGAAACTCTGCACACTTGGCATCCTAGTGCCCTCATTAGAAATTTATAACCGCACTGACGACTCACGTTCCAATACAGCCATTCCCACATAGTAAGCAAGTAAACAAGGGTGTGCATCAATACTCAACAATATCAAGATCCAAACTCTTAATCGATAGAAGTGATTAACTACGTGCATGCTTGTGCAAGTGTTCTAACATAGTTCCTTCCAGCTAACAAGTATAGAGAAAGTGGACAACACGTAACAATGTTTTTCCACAAGATGAAACTCACACATGTAAGTGCGCCACAACATAAATATTAACTACAAGAATGCCCCAGGCCATCACACGTCATCACAAATCAATCCCTGACATAGCCTACCTTGTCTCGCCACGTTTGCAATAATAAAATAAATGCCCGCCTTGTCTCTTCACACGTGCATAATAATATTTCCATCGTGTCTCGCCACACACACACACACACACACACACACACACACACACACACATATATATATATATATATATATATATATATATATATATATATATATATACAGTCTGCCTTGTCATGTCGCATGTACACATATCAATAGTAACAATAGCACGACAGAAACCTCGTGCAACACAATCACAACCGCATGGAAGAAACCTCGTGCATCACTACAACAACCGCACGGCTAAAACCTCGTGCATCACAACACTGAGTACAACAACAACGATGACAACAACACAAGAGTACGA